CCCCACCTCTGCCCCACCTCTGCCCCTCCCTCCTCTGCCCCCACCTCTACCCCCCACTCTGCCCTCCCACCTCTGCCCCCCTACCTCTGCCCTCCCTCCTCTGGCACCCCACCTCTGCCCCCTCAAGCTGTCAGAGCAGCGGGCACTATGCTGGCTGAGTGAGAGTCCGTGGTGGAGGGAAGAGAGGGATTCGTGTTCTGTGAACCCCAACTTGGAAACCTCTGGCTGCACAGGGGGGTGTGAGATTCCCCGGCTGCCTGCCCCCGACAGGTGTCGGACGGAGGCCGAGCACAGGGCATCACCACTGCTGCTCTTTCTACTGGCCCCATGCAGTACCTCCAACACAGGCACTCAATAAATATTGGATTTTATTAAATAAACTCCGGGGATTGTTTTTTCCGTAAGCCTCAAATTGGTTTTATGAATAAATAGCCACTGGGGACTGTTCGTTCTTAATAAAGTGTCTCAGTTCCTTGGAACTCTAGGCCCAGCCACAGGAGGGACCCACGGGATAGTTTATCACCCCGGGGACCCGGGAGGGATGCACCGATGGACCAGGCCCCGGGCTTGTCCTCCAGAGCCCAGGCCCCAGGAGGACCAACCCCACTGGGCACAGCTTGTGCAGGAGGCAGGCCCTGCGTCCGTCCGCCTGACCAGGCCCAGGCTGTCTTTGCAAAGCCCAGAACTGGCCCAGTCAGAGGGTCTTGAGCAGCCCCGGTGGGTCCAAAGCTGTCTGGGAAATGCCTTTTGGTTGCTCTAATAAAAATGGTGGCTGGGTGCGGTGGCTCATGCTTGCAATCCCAGCAGTTTGGGAGGCCGAGGCGGGAGGGTGGCTTGAACCCAGGAGTTCAAAACCAGCCTGGGCAACATAGCAAGAGCCCATCTCTACAAAAAGTAGAAAAAAAAATTGCTGGGTGTGGTAGTGCGCACCTGTAGTCTCACCTAATTCAGGAGGCTGAGGTGGGAGGACCGCTTGAGCCCAGGAGTTTGCCGTGATTGTGCCACTGCTCTCCAGCCTGGGTGACAGAACAAGATCGTCTCTAAAAATAATGATGGGGGGAGTTCAGGGGAGACAGAGCAAGAGGCAGTCCTGGAACACGTGGGTATCTGATCCACTCAAGCTCTGACATGAGGCGTGGAGTTGGGCTGGAGGCAGAGACCGGAGCCGGGTCACCACGAGACTTTATTAAAGACAGAACGCACAGACACCAAGCACCCACAGCCTCTCCTAGCGACGCTCCCGTACCAGGCTTCTTTCACCGGTCACTGTGCTGGCCCTCTGAGCTCCCTCTGCAGCCCTGTCCAGCGCTGTGTGGCCCGAGACACACACCTGCCAGCGCATAGGGGGCCAACGTGGCCAGCCTTGGGCCAGAGCTCCCCCACATTCCCCACAAATCGCACCGAGGCCTGACCTCAGCCCTCTGGGTTTGCCAAGTCCTGCCGGCTGCTTGGGCCACACAGTTTGGGGACACCCTTTTCTCTGAAAGCAGATGAAGAAATGGAGGCCCTGGGGAAGCCCAGTCTGCTGAGGTCAAAGCTTAGTGTCCTGTCTCCTTGTTGCGGGTTCTGTGTGTCCTCTGCTGGGTCCTCCTGCTGGTGCATTGCTCCTGAAGTCACAGGACAGGGGTCTGCCGCTGGCCACGGGCCTTCTTCATGTCCCCTGTCCCCCCATCTCACACAAACAGTACCTCCCCCTCTTCCTTCCCCTCTCTGGACTCAGCGTCCTCATGGTTTGAGATGGTTCAACAATCCTCCAGATCTCTGCCTGGTCAGACCCGCCCCTGGGTGACAGGGCCTCCAGAGTCCCTGGCTCCCAGCTTCCAGGGCTCTGGCCCCAGCCAAGCCAGCCAGAGGCCTGTGTGGAGGAGGATAGGTGGCAGGAAGGGTAAGGGGGACCAGGAAGAGAGGGGGCGCTGGTGGTACAGCTTTTCTGCCAAAGACAAACATTATAAAACCGATTTACATGCAGTTGCAGGGGAAAGCCGTTTGAGAACGGCTCGTAGCTCTGTTCCTATCTCCGGCTGAATGTGCTGAGGCCACCAGCATGGAAACCAAGGGTCCTTCCATCCTCTGGACCCTGGTGCTCAGGCAGTCAGCTGGGTGGCCTTTGGTGTGACTCTCTGAGATGTGTGCGAAGTTTAGGGGAATGGAGGAAGGCCATTGCTGATCCACAGAACTTGCCTGTGCACGCGGAGAGGCAACGGCGCAGGTGCACCGCCTCCAGGTCCCAGTGTGGCAATGCAGAGACCTCTCCCACTCAGCTTACTCCCCTCAAGTGAAGAAGCAGGAGGAGGCTCAGTCAGGCGGCATTGTGGGATGGAGGGCCACAAGCACCCGCCCTCAAATTGGGCCCCGGGGGACAGGGTTTGGGGCCCATGGGTCCCAGGCGATCCTGTGCACACGCCAGCCCTTGGCCTGGTCAGTCAACCCACAGGTCTCCGGCTGTCCCTCGCCCAGGGCTCTCCTAGCATCCCCGTCCTCCAGTCTCAGATGACAGCCATTTGCACTGGTATCAGACTGTAGGCTCTGCAGGGCTAGGGTGAGAGGCTGTGGCCCAGAGCAGGTGCGCAGGGACCGTTTTTCCCCAGTGCCAGTCTTTGAAGGTGCCCCTGGGGAGGGTGGGGCCAGTGCACTGGCTTGGGCCCTCCCCACCATGTCAAGCTCTGTGCCCATTCAGCTGGTGCTTGGTGGGGCCATGTGCCCTCTCCTGGTCTGGGACGGGGGCTGGTGCTCTAGGGCAGTAACAGGGCTCTGGAAGGGACAGCATCTCCAGTGCAGCCGGCCGCTGAGGACAGATGCTGCCTGGACCTGGTCCACAGGCTCCCAAAGGCCCCCTCCACTTGCCCCCAGCCCCTTGCCAGGCTCCAGTCATGATGCATCTGTTCCGTAGCCAAGCCCTGGCACGAGGGCCCCGGTGCCTCCTGCTGTACCCGCACATCTGTGAGTCCATTAACTTCACACTCACCAGGAGTTTGTTTGATGACACATCAGAAAGCGCTTGGCACTTTCTAAGCAGCCGCTGGCATGGGGAGGCTGGTAGCTCCCGCCTGGGGCCTGTTGGTGGGGGCTCCTGGGATGAGAACTTGAGTTCCACCCAGCCTCTGCAATGTGACAGCGTGCCCTGGGAACCCAGGTGGTCTGGGTGGGCTCCGTTGGCTTCTAGAGGGTGGGAAGAGGAGCTGAGGGGAGATTTCCCTTTGAATCTCATGTGGTCATTTTACCCACATCTTGCCCCTCGTGGCCCCACACCTGGGCTGCTCCATCCACCAGCCCAGCCACACTGGGCTGCCACCGCCTGATTCTTGGCTGTATCTGCGTCCAGCTGAGGACTGAGAGGGCAGGGACCAGGTCCTGTCCAGCAGGCAGGGCAGCCCAGGGCCACGGCAGAGGGAAGCGCTGCAGACATCTGTGCATGTGGGTGACCTGGTGGCGCTGGAACAGATGCCAGGTCTCACGGCCTCTCCCACCGCCCCCCTAGTGGTGCCGAGTCAAATTGATTGTTTTTTAAGCACAAACTTTCGTGGGAGGAGAAGGGAGAACGGAACCCCACACTACCCAGGCACCTGCCATCGGGTGTCCTTTGGAGGAAGCCACCTCCCCTCCTGCCTGAGGAGGGGCTGCTGGGCAGCTCCCCCAGGCTGACTACAGCCCTCTCAGAGGCCCTGCATCGGGGTGCCTTGGAAAAACCGCCCTGCACCTGGGCCTGACGCAATGCACACGGGTCCAGGGCTGCTGAGCAAAAAGCCAAGGACCCGGCTCCAGTCCTGCCCTTGCAGCTGCTGGTCCTGAGCGCCTGCGGGTCTCACCTCTGCGTGTGCACACACAAGGAGTGGGGATGACGGCGTGCTGGGTGTTGGGAAGATTCAACAAGAAAGTGTCCAGGTGGTGCCTCGTCTGGTGCCCCAGTCCCCTCGACCCCATTTGCCCAGTGACGTGGTCCCTGCCCCTTGACCACTCGCTGGGCCTGGCCCAGGTCCAGATGGCCACAGTCACTGGCAGGAGTTGGCCTCCCCATGGAGACAGCGGCCTCAGGGAGGGGGTCGCCGCCCCCATGGCCCTCCCAGGAGGCCTCAGGACCCTGGAGTCCCTGGGAAATTGGTGGTGGGGGTGGTACAAGCCTCATCCCAGCCCTGCCTAGGCCCCAGCCCAGAAAACCAACAGCTTCCCATTAGCACAGCCCAGCCCCACGGTGCAGGGCCCCACCCACCTTCCAGAGGCAGGAGAAATGGGATGGGTGGGTGGGAGATAGGTTGGGCCTCATTTGAGACAGAGAGCAGGTGGGTACAGCAGGTAAGGGGACTGGAGACCCCAGGCCTGCCGGGGCACAGGGTGGGTGGCCTCCAGGGAACTGGTCTCAGCCTTGGAGCGTGGGTCCCCAAAGGCAGCAGCTCCCCTTCCTGGCCTCAAGGCACGGTAGGATGGGGCCACCCAGCCCACAGCCAGGCCGAGGCCCTGGGGGAAGAGGTGGGTTATCTGGGCACTAGGGAAATGGGGGTGAGGGTTGGCACTGGAAGGGCTGGAGGACACTGGCCTCAGACCTGACCTCAGAGAGACCTGACGTTCCACACGATCCACTAAGAGGGCTCCGGAGGTGCTGTCTGCCCCCTGCTCTCTGTCCCCATAATGCCAGGTGTTTGGGTGGACAGAGCAGAGGGTTGCCTGGGGCAAACTTCACCATCCTGGCCAGGGGACGGCAAATAGCACGGGAGCCACAGTGGGGGCGGGCAGGAGTTGGGGTCATCAAGTTTGCCAGCCCCCATCAACAGAGGCAAGAGATCAGTTAGCTGCCAAATGGAGCGGGTGGGGACGGTGAGAAGGTGATGTGTGACTTCACCAGCCCCAGGGGCTTCGTGTCAGGGATGGCCCAGCCCCTCCCTGCTGGAGTGGGTCTGCCAGGCACAGGTGGGTGGAAAACATTCACGAAGGAGTGAGGTGGGGTCAGCGATGGGGCGATGGGGACCAGCAGGGCCAAGGACAAGGTGCACCGGTCTAGCGGTCCTCCCGGACCGGCCGGATCTTCATCTCGGAGAACTTGAGTGAGTACTGCCAGCCGGTCCAGGAGGACCACTCCACGCCGTCGGCATAGGAGGTGTGGGCACCACGCAGGTACTGCCCGTTGAGGTTGGACGTGTGGCAGTTGCGGTACCACCAGGCGCCTCGGTAGAAGGCAGCGCAATTGTTCTCTGAGTGGTCGCTGTCACGGTCCTTGGTGGTGAACCTCATGCCGCTGTGCTTCAGGAGGGAGTCGCCTGCGCAGGGGTGCACACAGGTGTGGGCACGGGGGGCACGGGTACGCCCACTGGTGTTGCATGTGTGAGCAGACACCAAGACACTGCACGCGAACCTGGACGTGAGTGCATACACGTACGCACGTGCTCTCACACATACACACTGGTGTGCACGCGTGCACGCACACCTGCCCCTCCACACCCACCCCTCCACACCCGGGTGTGTCCATGCAGGTCACACGCACGCAGTCCCTCCTCGGGCGTGCCTGGGGTTGCCCCTGGGTCTAGGCGGTCTCTATCCCTCCCCCAGCTTTTCCACATTCCCTCTCCTGCCTCCTCCTCCTCGGCCTGAGAGGGGACACCCAGCCCAGGGGGTCCAGCCACCACACTTTAGAGACCCAGCAGGCCCGAACCCCGGGTCTCCTGATTCCTGGCTCTGAGCTCAGTCTCTTCATCTGCAAAATGGGAAAACAGTCCAGGCTCTGCTGGTTTTGCCTTGCAGGGGTGAGGACCAAGTAGGACTTGGAGGTGGAGGCCAGTAGCCTCGACCCTGACCCCAGAGGGCCGAAGGGCATAATTAACATTATTATGAAAAAACGAACGGTAGCTTCACAGAAACTCATTTTGTATGACGCAACGGAATCAGCTGATGAAGACAGGGATGGAGGAATCCTTGGTAAGGAAGAAAATTTTCCCTTTTCTGTCTTGTTCACTCTTTCAATTTGAAAAATTTATTACTTAAAAGAAAAATTTTAGATTGGTTTCAGGCCTCTGATTGTGATGTGGGGTTGGTCGTTTATCAATATTTGTTATTTTTCAAAAACCTGATTACTTTCAAAGAGGGCCAAATCCATGAGCCTTGATCATTTTGGAGGGCAGGACCTCCTCCGTCCTCCATCCTCCCAGGCCACGCCCTTCCCCATCCCTGCCGCAGCTGGAGCCTCACCTGCAGTGCCGGAATAGTCAGCCACGGTGAGCGGGTACCCGTCTTCCTCAGGGTCCACGGAGAACAAGCCCACGCCAAAGCTCCCGTAGCGGGCATAGGCCGTGCCATTGTCAAAGTCCTCCAGGTCCACGTGCAGCTCGTAGGCAGTCTGTGTGGTCAGGGCGTGGATCCTCTTGAGGCCTGAAGTTGGGGAGAAAATGGTGGGAGAAGCTGAGGGGCGTAGGAAGTGAATCCCCAGGGAGAAATGATAAATGATAGCTGAGCTCATGCAGTTGAGGACAGAAAGGGACAGCCACCAAGTGCGTGCAGTCTGCCCTGGGCTACTTCCTTCTTCCTGTCGGCCTGTGTTGGGCCAGTCACTGAGGACCGACAGATTTCATGTTTGGTTTTCTCTGTTCCCTGTAAGTGGAGCTGTGATGCTTTTCAAACGTTGGGACTCTGAGCTGGCGGGAGGACTGCAGGAGGCGGGAGGAGGTGGGGGTGACAGCACCCTTACCCAGACTCCAGCCAGAGCCAGACAGGATCTGGTGTTCACATTTTCTAAACCAGGCCTCTGGGCCTTCGCACTTGCTGTTCCCTCTGCCAGGGATGCTTGTCCCTACTCCTCCTCACTTGGTTACCTTCTGTTCATTTCTGAAAGGCTGCCTGACCTCCCGTCGGCGTTGAGGACCTCCTCTGTCCCTGTGGGTGTTTATCTTTCAGCGTTCCGGCTGCCTATCTTGTCAGTTTCCCTGCCGGTGCGGAAGCGCCATGAGAGTGGCATGTCCAACCTGACCACTGCTGACCACAGTGCCTGGGCTGGGCCCGGCACAATGGTGCTCACCCAGCACTGACTTAATGAATGGGAGGCAGGAGGCGGCACCCTCATCCCTCTAGGCCGGCTCTGTGCCCCCATTCCACTCTCTCCCTCCTGCTGTCCCCGCCCCACCTCAGCTCTGCCCTGCCCATGCCCGGGGTCTCATGCCAGGCCTCCCTCACCATAAACACATGTGCTCAGACACCCAAGGTGCTTCACTGCCGGTGTGATTACTTTGGATTAAGAGGGCATTTAATGAAATGATTTACAAGTGGGTAGCAGCGAGTGCTATTCCGTCCGCTTCTCCCTCCTGCCTGCCTCTCCCCGTCTCCACACCTCCCGGGGTCAGTGTGTGCCGGCTGGAGGTTGTACGGATCCTCCCTGATCCCGCCCGGACAAGAAGGCTTTGGTCCCAGTCACCAGGTCCAGGAACCAGGAGCAGCTGCTGTGGGAGGAGTCACAGCAAAGCTGACCGCCCAACCCACGTTCCTCCGTTCCTCCCCAAGGACCTGCCAGAGCACGGGCTTCGAGAGCCTGGGGTCTCACCCGGTGTCCCCCCTCCCTGATTCTCCTGCTGCTGAGTCTCAGGGCAGCCGCTCTCCCTCTCTGGGCCCCAGCTCAGCTAGCACAGGGCGGACATGAGGGGCCAAGACAGCATCATCCACGAAAGGGCAGGCGGGAGGTAATCATGACAACAGCCGCCACCTGGACGGGACTCACGAGGGCCCAGCACCGTTCTCAGCCCTTCGTGCAGATGAGTGAATCCAGTGGAATTAGAGTGAGTCCAATTTAATTACAGAATCCCTGGGCAGCTTTTCTGGCAGGGCTGGCCCACGGCACACATTATCCAGGCTGACTGCTGCTTCCCAAGGCCCCGGGGAAGGAGTGCATATGACTCCCTATTTTACAGGGGAGGAAAATGAGGCCCAGGGAGGTTAAGGAGCTGGCCCAGGTCACACAGCTGGTGAGTGGCACTGCTGGGATTCGAACCCAGGCAGAAGGGCCCCGACTCCCTGCTGCTATTCAGACCTTACCCAGAACAAATCAGACGATGCAGGAATAGGGAGAGAGGGAGACCACCCCTGCCGGGGATGCTGGAAGATTCCTTTTCCCACCACTAAATGGCCACTGGGGCCCAAAGGCCTCCATCAGCCACTCCTCTGGATTGAGTGACGCTTCATGAGAGGTGTCCTGGGGGCTGCTGTGCAGGACGCCCGAGGGAGGGGTATGTGGGGACCTGGGGCCTGGGCTCCTCTCCGTCCTTCTTCCAGTCCACGCCACCTCCTCCCTCCCTCGCCTCCCTGCCTCCCTGCCTCCTGCCCTCCCTGCCTCCTGCCCTCCCTCCCTCCCTGCCTCCCTGCCTCCTGCCCTCCCTGCCTCCCTGCCTCCCTCCCTCCTTCACTTCCCTCCCTCCCTGCCTCCCTCCCTCCGTCCCTGCCTCCCTCCCTCCCTGCCTTTGCTCTTTGGCTTTCTCCAGCTCTCCCTGCTCTCCCCCTCCTTCCAGAACCGCTCCCAGCCATGTTAGCTGTTCTTCCCAGATTCCCTGGGCCCCTGATCCAACTCCTTCACCAGCTCCCAGCTCAAATCGCAGGGAGTAAGAAAGAGGGCTGA